AGGGGATTCGAACCCGCAGATTGCGAGTCGAGCGCCCTAACAATCTGGCCATGCCGGGCCAGCTTTACTTGTTCAACTGTCCGTTTCAACCTTTTGGTTTGGTTACATCTTTACAGCAATTGTTCTTGAACAGTAGCATGTTCATTAAACCCACTTTGCGTTAATGTGTGTTTTAACTATTCTCAAATAAATTTCAGACCCGTATTTACAGTGAAGTTGTTGTCATGATCTATATTCGACTGTTGTCTGTCTCGTAGAGATTATATCTTGAAATATTTAACATAACTTACACAGACCTAGTTTTCATCTTCAACCACTTCTCGTATTAGTAGGGCCATTTTCATATATACCGACTTCAGAGTGTTGCAAATAACTCCTACTGAAACAATGGATATTTTTGACTGGAATAGTAGTATTATTGGTCCTCTGAGAGGTATGATTCATCACTCAGGAAGAGAGGCCTCCATGGTCAACCACCCCAGAGGCTAGAAACTGGTAAATGGTAAGGACTCCCATACACCATTAGTAGAAAGGGGGGAAAAGGTATTGGAGAGTCCAGAGGACTGCATCACCAGAGATAGTGCAAGAGGTAACTGCGATACCCTATTTTGAAAAGCAGAGTAACCACATCAATCAACCAAAACCTGGCAGTTTCTGTAATTGTACATCACGTCCGTGGTAAGAAGAATCTCAACACCACGGAGCATCAGAGATGGGCCGCAATCTTTGTCTGATTTATTTATATTAGTTCATTAGTGTACAGTCCGGGATGAACGTAGTTATGAAGCCAAAAGCCACTAGAGAACTAATAACAGTCCTACAGAACACCCCATCTTTATGGTGAGCATAACCCAAATCTGTGATGTAATTGTTTAGTCAGAGACAACAATAAAACAAAGACACACCTGGTGGCATCTGGAATTGTACTTTACATCTGCAGTAGTAAGGGCTAGAACATAAGTGACATCCAGCATGGTCACAGGATGGACGATGTGGATTTTAAAAAAAAAAGTATACCTGGTCAAGCAGCACTTGTCATAGAGTGGAATACATAATACACTGAAAAAGTAAGAAAAGTGAGAGGAAAAAAAGCAACCTTTCACAATACCAAAATGCAAAAATTTAAATTCATAGTAAAGAAAACAAAGACAGCAGTACAACGGAAAAGGTCGACAAATGTGCGAGCAAAAACCAGCACATCTGTACAGTACTAATGCCAATTGAAAAGTGATTAATGAGTGCAGATATGATGAGGGCACTGGTTACAATAGGAGTGGTGTCATACTCCTACTGGTGGAATTCTGTTCATGATAATTTGCATGTGGATATGCAGAAGTGGGAGGTGAAGGGCTAGTGGCATGTGTTGAAAATTTGCACTGAAAGAGGGCAGTGCTAGTTGAGAAAAGCTATTTTGTGAGAGGGGTAAGATATCATATCAGGACTCAGTTCTATGATAATGTACAATACATTTGGACAGCTCAAAGAAAAGATTCAAGTGCTTGTTAGGTAAAACTCAGAAACCTGAATCAAATGAAATTCTCAATTGAGAATGAAATGATCCATACCTACTAAAACAAAGAATTACAAATCAAATAATCCAAGTTTGTAGAACTCAAAATTCTGAATACAATGATGTATATTTTGTAGAACTTAGAAACCAGAATCAAAGTAAAACTGTTCTTTAATTAAGGAATGATAACTCGTTCTTTGCAACTACTAAGAAAATGTTAAAAGACTGTTTGTCTAGATTATTTACTTACACTGAAACTACTAATTCCAACTATTACAAAACTAATATTACAAGTAATACAGTCATTTTACTACTGGGTATTTTCTATTAACTGATAAATATACTTCATCTAACATTTGAAAAACTGCATGTTCTTAAGAAGTATTTGATATTACTACATATATAAAACTTGAGTTTTACTTTAAAAAACACTATAAAAAATTATTCACAGGTTTTAATGTTTTTCATCTTAAAATATCTGTCAAACCTCTTACATCTAGCAGTTGTGTAACTGGTAAAACTTCATAATGAATTTTCAGAGAGAGAATTACATGTAGTGATTCAATATTAAATAGTAATTTCATAATCATTGTTCTAGGGAAAATTATTTCTAACTATAAATTCTATGATTGAGTAGATTGTTCCAAAAATGCTATGAGGTCAGCTCGTTCCTGTTTTTTCTTCAGGCCAGCAAACACCATCTTTGTTCCAGGAATGTATTTCTTAGGGTTTTCTAGGTACACCCACAATGTGTCACGATCCCAGGTAATTCCTATAGTAATAAAAACAAATTATAATGCCTTAATAATCAAAGAAATACATCTCCAAAAGCATTTTTAAGAAGTATTACAGAAAATGTTTTTAAAATTAATTATAGAAGAAATGATTTCCAGAAAGTGTTTATTTTAAAAGTATTACCAGAAAACAAATGAGAGTTAATACAGAGGAAAACAATTTCCAGAAAGCACAAACTTGTTTAAAAGGTATTACAGAATAGGTAATCTCAAGAAAATGTTTAAAAAATATTACAAAAGAAATGCACTGCCAAAAACTGTTTTTAAAAGGTATTACAGAAAAAAAAGGCACCTTTGATAGTATTACAAAAGAAATAAAATACATTTTCAAAACATTTTTTTGAAAGGTATCACCAGAAAGAATTTTAAAAAGGTATTAGAAAAGAAAAAAAAACAACTCTATAAAGTGTTTTAAAATTATTGCAGAAGAAAATGTATCTTAAGAAAACTTAAAAGGTAATACAGAAGAAACATATCTCCAGAAAGTGTTTTTGCAAAGATTACAGACAAAATAGATATCCAGAAAGTATTGATAAAAGGAGTTACAGAAGAATTGCATCACCAAAATGTATTTTTATAAGGTATTACTGAACATATTAATCTCTAGAAAAAGATTTTAAATGGTATAATAGAAAAAGAAATGATTCTTCAGAAAGTATTTTAAAAGTATGACAGAAAAAGTGAATCTTCAAAATGTATTTTTAAGAGATACATCAAAAGAAAAAATGCACCTCTGGAAAATATTTCAAAAGGTATTACAGAAAGAAAGCATCTCTAGAAAGTACACTTTGACTGTAGCACAAATAAAATGATAAGGACAATCATATTTTTCAATTCAAGTACATTTCATTGTATACATTTGTAGGTCTCTTAGAACAACCAACAAAGAAACTGAAAAGTGTCTTTTGACTTGCATTCTGTAAGATCCAACTTCCACTGAACACAAAATGTTTCTTACTGTTCCAGATACTTACATACACCAAGCTTTAAGTGTACCTGATGTCAGGGAAATCAGGCCTAAGCAAGTGTAATCCAAAATGAGAACACTAAACATACAACAATAGTGACTACATGGATCTCAGTATTAAGTGTGGTGTACAAGGAGTGAATAGACTGAATACTGTACAACAGTGAAAGGGAAAAAAGAAAATTAGCTTATAATGTTATAATAAAAGCACCATTGATAAACTATAAACTTCTAATTTACACTGTTTCTAACTAACCATAGCTACAAAATGCAAACCTTTGGTCTTGTTGGCATCTGTGTATGAGAATCCTGGGGCTTGACCTGTCTTACGACCAATGAGTCCATGAAGATTGGGCCCAGTCTTGTGCTTGCCTCCTTTCTCCACCGTGTGGCACTGGGCACATCTCTGAATAAACAACTTCTTCCCTTTTTCTGAATTACCAACAGGAATCTCTTCACTCACCATTTTTAAGTTACCTAGAAATGTAACGATAAAATAGTGAGTCTTTGTCTTTCTGTTAGATGCATAATAATGAAAATTGTATATATATTTACACATTTTATGTGCTCGTACATCTGTTTAGATTTGTAATTCTTTGTTTAAAAAGAAATGACTTACTAAAAGTCTTGGCAGTGCAAACAAAATGGTTAAGATTCTTACGTATGACTTTTGCCTTGATTTTTGAAGTGGATAATATTATAACTCAATGAGGTAATGCTTTATATGTCCACAAAAACTCTGAGCTCACTTTTAACTTGGAAAATCATTTTACAAGTAACAACTCTGAATAGTTATTATAAGATGCTTTTGTAATGGAAAGATGATGAAAAAAATACAGGACATTACAAACAGTGTTTATTTAATTAAATGCAAAATGAAAACTCAAGTCACTGATAAACCAAGGCAGAACAATAGCCAGACTACAGTAATTATTTCTTAAAACATTGGCACATACAATGTGTAATACATGTAAAATCAAAAGGAAAAATTTAAACATAAAAAAATAAAAATGAACATCAATACGCATAATTTCACCACATATTCCTTACATGAAAATGGATTTCCAATAAATATCTCTCCACAGAAGATGGATATTACTCACTCCAAAATCTTGTGAGCATGCACCAAGCCTTGAACAAAACTCCCATTCCTACACATTAATGTATTAAAATTAACATTTTCATGAACTGAGAATGTATTTCTGATAGATACTGACTTCCTCTCACAAAACGTTTTCTTGAATTGTACTGCCTTCTATCAGTGCAAATTTTCACTTACCATTAGCATTCTAGCATTGTTATTCCCACTTATTATTCTGCATCATACTAATATTTAAATGATCATTATTCCCACTTATTGTACTGCATCATACTAATATTCAAATGATCATGCAGCAACCCTCCACCAATAAGAGTGTGTCACTACCCCTATCATAACTAGCACCCTCTCTAATCATACACATGTTAATCACTTGGAGATTGGACATAACTAGCCAAATTAAGTCACACTGGAAGTGGGGAGGTAAGTATCTATTGGAAATACATTTTCAGTTTAGGAAAATGTTAATTTTCGATAAAATATCTTACCTCTTCTCACAAAAAGCTAGAATCCCATATTGAACTGGTGAAGGGCCAGAGAGAACAGAACTAAAAAGGCCAATGCCTCATAAAAAATTAAAAATGCAATTAAGTTGGGCAGTGTCACCATCACCACATTTGGAGTACTGTGTTCAATCTTGGGCCCCTTACTTTAGAAAGGCCAATGGATTGTTGAAAAGGGTTCATAGGATGACTACTAGGTTGATACCTGGGATGGAAAAGTTGTCATATGAAGATAGGTTAAGACCTCTGAAATAATTTTCTCTTGAAAATGTTAGAGTTAAAGAGGATGTGATTTATATGTTTAAGATTGTAAAAGAAATTAACAGTGTTAATGCATCATCTTGTTTTTTTAATGGTGAGGCCAATGTCAAGGCTAAACTTATAGAAAAGACATGTCTAAAATGGTGCCACTACTCATGGTCGTAACAATGGCATGACAATAAAATGCGTGCTATTGTGACTGGAGTGTCACAAAGGCTACACAGTGGTGGATCAGTACCAGATAAAAGAAAACGATGAGTTAAAAAACTGTGACCAATGCATAGCCTAGCCAGGACAACTTCCTCCTTCCGATCCTTACAAAAAATGTTATGACATGGCTCACCCCAAATCAACTCCCAACTGGCACAAAGCCACGACTTGAATACTGGACCATAGTACATATATGGGACAGCCACAGCCATGACAGTACCAGAGCAGATGGACATAGCTGCAGTGTCAGCGAGCTCCTTCCAGCGAATGCCAATATGACCATGTATCCAGAAAAACTGGATGGAAACAGAAGACAAAGAAAAATGGGCCAGTCATTATTGAATATCGAGAACTAACAGGGTGAGAACTAACCTTAAGCAATTCCAGTAGAGAGCTAAGAGAATCTGTGTAAATAGTACAATCGCTGTACTGCATAGCTTCTACATGACCCAGGGCACGAGAAATGGCATACAACTTGGCAGTGAACACAAAAACTGTAGAGGGGACCCTGCGAGCAAATACTGAGACACAGCAAATCATGGCAGAGCCTACAAAGACACCTGATTTCAAACCATCCGTGGAAATGGGAATAGAAGGATGGTTCAAAAGATGTACAGTAAAGAGCAGACGATACTTCCAATCGGGAGTATCTGCCTTCCTCAAGGAAAGATCACATCTGGGTATGGTAATAAGCCATGGTGGAATGGACTGATCATTGGGGACAGCAATGTCAGACCAAATTCAACTGGTTGCACCTGTATACAAAGGTCAAAAAAGGAATTGCAGACCATTTATTCTGAAAGAGCATGGCCCACAAAGGAAGAAAGACAACCATAGGTTGGATGCTGTGGTAAGGACTGAAGATTGGTAGCATACTGTAGAGAAAGTTGCAAAGACAAAGAGGAAGTTTGTGGAAGGCAGTGTACAAACTCTGTACTGGAAAAGTGCAAAAAGACCCAGTGCAGAGCCAAAGCCCCAGATGGTGAATAGGGTCCAGCATCTTCAAGGTCAAAGTCCTGGCAGAACCATGAACCAGAGTCCCATAGTCCAGTTTTGATTGAATGAGAGTACGATAGATCTTGAGCATAGAACAACATTCCACTTCCTAAGAGGGGAAAAAAAGGATATGGAGAATGTTCAGTGCCCTTGTACACTTGACACATAGCTGCTTTATGTGAGGAATGAAACTAAGTTTATGGTTAAAGGTAAGCCACAAGAGCTTTGACTCAGGAATCACAGGAAGAACATCACCGAGACAGATCTTGGGATCGGGGTGTAAGCCTCGCTGGTGGCAAAAATGTATGCAAACAGTTTGGGAAAAAGAAAAGGTAAAACTGTTTGCTGTAGTCCACTTCAACAAGTGATTGAAGACAGTCTGATGCTGCCGCTCAATAAACAAGATGTGGAAGACGTCGATGAAGAGCCCATTTGCAACAGTAGGAGGAAGTTATGTGTTGATAGCATTTATCTTGATACTGAAAAGTGTGACACTCAAGATACAGCCCTGAGGGACTCCAAGTTCCTGTGTAAAAGAACGGGAAAAAATTGAACCCACACAAACTTGGAATCACCTGTCTAATAAAAAGTTCTAAATAAAAATGGGTAAATAGCCATGCAACCCATATAAGTGGAAGTCCCGCAAAATGCCATAGCTCCATGTAGTGTTGTAAACCTTCTCAAGATCAAATAACATAGAATCATGAAGTTCTCTCTTGATGAAGGCTTCTATGATCGTGGTTTCAAGTCGAATCAGGTGGAGCACTGTTGATGGAACCCACACTGAGTGGGCGAGAGGAGGATGTTTGATTTGAGGAAACAAACAAGATGACAATTAACTATCCTCTCTAAGACCTCACAGAGACAGCTAGTCAAAGCAATTGGATAATAATTAGAAGAAATCTTGGAATCCTTCCCAGGCTTACAGAAAAGACAATAAAAACAAATAGAAAAATAGCAAGAGAGGCAGGAGAGAGATGGCGCAGCATCTCATAGTGGACATCATCAAGTCCAACCAATGTACTGGCAAACCGATGAAGAGGAAGTCTGAGTTCCACCAGTATAAGGGGGTGATTATAGTCATAGAGACAATCAGGGAAGAGGTGACTGCTCTACCTGAAACTTGATGGCGAAGGTGGGGTAAGAAACAAAAGTGCTGAATGTGGGAGAAAAGCTCTCACTGAGAGTATCGGTGAGGCTCTGTGCATCAGCAACTTCATGCCATTGGAGAATGGGGTAGGAAGAATTCCTCCCATTGACCTTCTGAATCTGGTCCCATATGACATTGGAACTGGTAGTAGAAAAGATGCTAATTGTGAACTTAATCCAAGATTCCTTTTGGCTTTGATGTCTGACCTACCGAGCACGGGCAAAGGTCAGCTGGAAAGAATGGGATGCTTGCAAAAAGTATACCAGGCCTGCTCCTGAGCCTTCCATGCCTGCTGGCAGGCTGGAGACTACCATGGATGAGGATACCATGGGAAACATGTTGAGGTTTTAGGTATAGAATGAACAGCTGCTTGAATGAAGTAATCACTTACTACCTATATGTAGTCACTAATAGATGGAAAACTAATGACAGCAGGATTAAGTTCCAAGAGAGAGAGAGAGAGAGGTGAAAGAGAGCCAGTGGGCCTGGTCTAACTTCCACTGTGGCACTCAGGTTGGGTGGCATCGACCACAGACAATCTCCCTCAAAACTATAGGAAAATGACCACTGTCAACCCTCCAAGAAAAGTGAGAGAAAAAGTGAAGGTGAGCAGACAGATAGATCAATGGCAGTAAAAGACTGACTAGGTGCATGAAAATAAGTGTAAGAACCAGTACTGAAGAGAAAAAGATTGTGATCCAAGAGCATACACTCTTTGAAACAACTACTCCTATCAATATCAGCACCACCCATGAGAGGATCGTGTCCATTAGTCTCCCAGGATTAAAAAGGGGATAACAACTGTTCAACAAGAGCACCAAAGTCTGATTGATCATAAGTTTCTCCAGGAGACAGATAGAGAGAGAGCAAAGAGTGATGGTACGACCCAAGGAAACACAGGTTACTACAGCCTCCAAAAGTGTATCGAGTGACACAGACAAGGTGGGCACATGCTGTTTGACTAGCAGTGCCACCCCTCCATGCATTCAATCATCACACAACCTGTCATTGCGGTATAAAGAAAATTGCCAAAAGGTGACTGTATCACCTGGGAGCAGATCACTGAGGAGGAACAAAGAAACATATCTCCCTTCAACAGAGGTGAACCTGTGTCCAGGCAGTTCACCACTTTAAATAAAATTATTGACTTCTTTAAATTTTTATTTACTGCAGAAACATTAAATATCACAATTAAATGAAACAAACCAGTTTGCAAACCACAGATGTCAGCAAGAAGGTGGACCACCAAAAAAAGGCA